TCACTTACCTACCTGAAGTGATATTGTGTAACATCTGTTATACAACACTTAAAATAAGCAGAATGATACTAACTTTACTCATGACTTAGGGGTGAAAGCCTTGATGGATATTAAATTTTAAGAAGCCACTAAAAAAGTTCTTTTGAGCATGTTTGTGGATTTTCATGAGGACAGCAAAACACTTAGGCTAAGTACAGACGGTCAGAAAAACCGAGGCGGAATTGATTCAGTCTTTCCAGATTTGTCTAAGCTGCAAAGATTGAACCAATAAACAAATGAACAGACATTCACTTGTGATTCAAGAAATGCAGCCACATGCTTGCATTGGCTCAAGCCAGAAGCTGGGGCGGGATTCTAGAGCACAGCTGTCTGGCACATAGCCAGCATGGGCTGTGTGTTCGCTTCCTCTTCCTGCTGCCCCTGAGGCCTCTGGGGTTTGCAGTCCACAATCACAGCAGCAGGACTCTGCAGGGTTGCTCATCACTTCTTCTTCCTGCTTCCAGGTGCCTCTGGGATTTGTAGTCCACAATTGCAGCCACCAGTAAGCCAGGAGAGCAGGGCAGCTCGTACTCAAGGGAAGGGGAGTTTAAGCCCCCTCTCTGGCCTGAGACCCAGCCATGGTTTTCCTAAGGGGGACAGTGAGCCACCCCTCACTGCTCCAGCTAGGAAGCAGGAGGGCGGGGCCAGCCCTGCTCGGGAGCAGACAGCACAGCCCAGCCCAGGGCTGAAAAGCATGCTGGGATACTGGGGGACTGTGATTTAACTTGAACCAGGAAGGGGTCTGGGACAGAAGTTTCATAAATTGGTTTGACCTAAATCAGTTAAATTTGATACTACATTCAGCCAGATTTATCTTAAACCTGTTTCCACCATTTTGAAACTGGTTTATGTGTACTGAACTTCTGTTACAGGTTTAAACAAGTTTTTGATCACTTAAGCTGGTTTGTCCCCCTAGCCTTAATGGACCATAAGAATTTCTAGTTCCTGCTTCACACCATGGAGCACCAGGACTTTGTTTTGAAACATTTTGAATGTTTCAGAATATTAAGGGAAAAATAGGTAAAATAGATAACTCCATGAAAATGCCTGTTATTTTGCTGAAACTAATTATTTTACATTTATAGTTAATCTTTTTATTTAGACCAAAGAAATTAGCATAATAGGTCATAGTTTCTCAACCTGTGGTATGCGTGCCCCTGGGGGTATGCGAGACATGCAGGGGGTACACGGGTACCCTGACACTCTCTCTTTC